CCCCTCCCTCCGATAGAAACCAGACCTTTATGGTAGGCCATCAGGACTGCCGAGGATTGTCCCAAAAGCGGGACAGACACACATACATAAATATACACGCACGCGCGCGTGCGCGCACACACACACACAGAGCCACCCAGTATCACTCAACCATGAACCACAGGGAACTTCCAAAGCTGGAATACAGGTGGCCTTCTCACCTGGCTCTCTGCTCCTAGGTCTGTCCCCAAGGACTCTGGTGTCCCCAGATACACGTGCAGGTTTTCCTGACGCCCTCTACACTGTGTAGACTTCTACAGCGCAGCTGTGTCTGGCAGCTGCCTCCCTCCTGACAGCTCCAGTCATCTTCCTCTTTCTCCTGGATGTTTGCTTCAACTCTTGCTGCCAACTTCAGGTGGCTCCTTTTATTCCGCTTCCTTTTCGTTTGGGAGTGAAAGCTGAGATTCTGACCTTTGGAACTTGATTTCCAATTCAGTGCTTTATCAAATATTAACAAATATTAATGCCACAATGGGTGGCGTTAGCTTTAGGATAGAAATTTGTGTTGGGGGGGTGCGAGAATATCTGTTTATTTTGAGATAGGGTCTCATTGTGTAGCTCTGGCTTTTTATAGACCAGGCTGGCCTTGAACGCACAGAAATCCGCCTGCCTTTGCCTCCCAGGTCCTGGGATTAAAGGCGTGCACCTCCACCAAGTGGGCGTTTCTTTTTTTAAACTTTATTTGTTCATGTTGTGGAGGACAAGTTGTGGGAATTGGCTCTCCTCCCAGCAAGTGGGTCCCAGGGACAGAAATGCAGGTTGATGGATTCCCTTCATTGTAGGGTGAATATCTCATTAAGCAGAATCGTTCAGAGCAAAGAAACAAAAACCCCTAGGCTGGGCTGGAGAGATGGCTCAATGGTTAAAGACTGCTCTTCCAGAGCTCCTGAGTTCAATTCCCAGCAACCACATGGTGGCTCACAACCATCTGTAATGGGATCTGGCGCCCTCTTCTGGCATGCGGGCATACATGGAGGCAGAATGTTGTGTATATAATAAATAAATCTTTAAAAAACAAACAAAAAAACCCTAGGCTGCTCCCTTATTCTACACTATCCCCGCCGGTGATTTCTTCAGGGTAGGAACCAGATCAAGTCTCACAGACCATTGCCGTGACCACATGCACAGACAGCAGGACAGAAACAAGCCAGACAGCCGAGGACAGTGGGACATTACACCAAGACCAGCCCCTTCTGGGCTCAGTGAGTACATGATGTCGTCCCAGCGTGCAGGATCTTCCCAGATGCTAACCTGAAAACCAAGTGTCATCGGGTTGTGGTTTCCAATCCCTTTCCCATCTCACCCGCTCCGTGCCCTTACCTCCTCCCTCCTGGCCGTCAGCCTCTTCCGCTTGGGCTCTGTATCACTGCCAGGCTTCTGTACACTTCCTGATTCTGCCCCCTCCATGCCGCCACCAGACAACTCTCTAAAATCTCTGCCTTCTCCCCACCCCTGGATTCAGTTCTGTATGCATAGCCCTCCTGGTTCTATCCTATGTCTCTGTATTTCTTTCGTATCTCTGGGCCTCCTACCCAATCCACATGCCCCTACTCAGAAATGTGTGAACCCTGTTGAGGCTGGACAAGGACAGATGCTGCCCCAACGTGTGGCTACGACACATCTCTAGTACCGGCATCTTCCTCCTTCCATCCTTCTGTCCCAGGTCTTCCAGCTTTTACTTTCTTATAGCATGTATTCTATTACACTTCCCATTCCCTCCTTTTAAGCCTTTTTCTTCTCTCTCGGGCCCCTTTCTAGTCTCTACTCACACTCACTGCCTCAAAATACACACACACACACACACACATCAGAAGTCAGGATACATGTATGGGCCAGGTGGTATTAGCGAACACTTTTAATCCCAGCCCTCGGGAGGCAGAGACAGGTGGATCTCTGAGTTTGAGGCCAGCCTGGTCTACAAGAGTCAGTTCTGGAACAGTCAGGGCCACATAAAAGCCCTGTCTCTAGGGGCTGGAAAAATGGCTCAGCGATTAAGTGAACTGGTTGTTCTTCCAGAGGACTCAGGCTCAACTCCCACCACCCACATGACAGCTCACAACTGTCTGTAACTCCAGTTCCAGCTGATATGATGCCTTCACACCAATGCACATATAATAAAGTTAAATTTAAAAATGCTGTCTAGAAAAAAATCTGTCTCTAAAAACAGCAAAAAAAAAGATACACATATAAAAGAGACATGGAATGTTTCTGTCTGCACCTGGGTTACCCCCTTAGTATATTTTCAGGGTTTGCTGTCAAGCCTGACAAGTTTGATCCCCATGAGTTTGATGTCCAAGACTCACATAGTGGAAGGAGAGAACTTACTCCCAAAAGTTGCCCACTTACCTGCACACCTGCTCTTCCCAAGACGAGTAAATAAATATAATAAAAATAAATATTTTCCAATTCCATCTATTTCCCTACAAATTTTATGGCTTCACTTTTCTTTATAGTTGAATAAAATCCCCTTGTATATACCTGCCAAATTTTCGTTATCCTTTACTCTGGTGCTGGACATCTAGACTGGTTCCATTTACTTGCTTTGTGAGTAGAGCAGCAGTGACCATGAGTGTCCAAGTGTCTCTGTGGTAGAATATAGGCTCCTTTAGCTATATGCCCAGAAATAATATATATAGCTGGGTCATATGCTAGTTCTAATTTTAGTTTTTTTGGAAAAACCTCCATATTGATTTCCATAGTGCTGTGAAATTCCTTTGTGAGGTAGGGTCTCATGCAGAGTAGCTGACCTAGAACTCACTTTGTAACCAAGGATGACCTTGAACTTCTGACCTTCCTGGTGGAGACAGGTGCTAACCTGTCCTGTTTACGTAGTGCTGGGGGATTGAACCCGTGGCTTCACGCTTGCTAGGCAAGCACTCTACCAACACAGCCACATTCCCAGCCCATTCTTACAGGTCTAATTCCAGTAAAAAAGGAGAATCCCTTCCATCCTAATCAACTCTGCAATAGCTTTAAGATTGGGGGTTAACACAAACACCCCAAAGTCAGATTTCACTAACAGTGCCAGCACACAGATGGAGTATGTTCCTCCAGCTTCTAAGAAGAGGAGTGGGACTATTTCTTCCATGCTCGTTAGACTTTCCCCCCGAAAACAACTTGGGCTCGATGCCTTCTCTTTTGGAAGGCTATTGGTTGTGCAAGTTCCAAAATAGTCGTGTGACTACCTGTAGTGCGCCACACCCGTCTGTGCTCTATGCACTACCATACAGTTTGTGAACCGGGCAAGGAACTGGAGATTGAAACACACAAACACTCACAGAGACACGGGCCATCCTTGAAACAGGAATGCCCTCTTTATTGTGTCCAGGGGCAGCTTAAACAGAGATCCTTAACTGATAGCCACGCCCCAGCCAAGCCCACCAGAAACCACTCTCCCGCCATCAGGAGTCCTGAGGGTCTCGTGCTCAGGGCAGCTGCAAGCTGTCTCAAAGCAGAGGGAAACAAGTTGTTTACACGAAATTCAGCATCTGGGGATTCACAGCTCCCAACAACTACCCACCAATTTGTCTTTCAGTGGGGTTTGGGAGATGGTATCCTTCAAGGAACTGCTTCCTTCCTTCCTTCCTTCCTTCCTTCCTTCCTTCCTTCCTTCCTTCCATCCTTCCTTCCTTCCTTTTGTTCTTTGTCTGTGATAGTGCCCTACTCCATAGCCTAGGCTGACCTGGAACTCATTATAATCCATCCTCACCCTCTAGAGTGCTGGGATGACTGCGTGAAAACCACTCCTGGCCAAGTCCCATTCCTTCCATGCTGAGGTGGAAAGTTTGGACTGTTCGTGATATTCCCCTATCTCCATATCCATCTAAGCTATATAGATGTCTCAGGGCCCTGGTGAGCTGAGTTTGATGCCCAGAACCCACATGGTAGAAGGAAAGAATTGATTCCAACATGTTGCCCTCTGAACTGTATGTGCAGACCATGGTGTGTGCATGTGTGTGTGCGCGCGCGCGCCCACACACACACACACACACACCACTAAGGAAAACATCCTATATCATTCCTAGATACTGTGGTCAGGACTGATGAAATTTCTTCCATTTCTAATATTAGCAGCATTTTTTTTCTTGTGTTCTTGGTTAACCAGGAGAGAGAGAGAGGTGACCAGCCTATGGCACCGTGTCCAGTTTGGGGCACAGTGGCGATCAGAGCCCTATTGACTCTGCAAGGATTGCATCCTCAGCCCTCTCCCTATACTCCCCCTTTCCTCACCCTCCTCTCCCTTTACTCCCCCTTTTCTCACCCTTCTCTTTCTCCTCTCTCTCCCCCTTCCCCCTGCAGGCCCTGGCTGGCCAGACCTCTGTATTCTCCCAATGCTGTTCAGTGTTGCAGATCCCCCACCTGTTTTTGTCGTTCCACACAAATCTCAACAAGCTGCATCTTTGCTAAGTTTAAAATATTCGGGTTTCTTTTGAGATTTCTTTGACCCATGAGCTATGTAGAAATATATTGGGGGTTTCATTGTTGTTTCTTTGGCTTTTGCGTTTTTTGAGATGGTGAGCCAAAGATGATCTTGAACTTTGTGGACTCAAACAAATCCTCCTGCCTCTGCTTGCAACTAGCTGGGTCTAAAGGCAAGTACCACCAGTTTAGAAGTATAGAGTCAAATACTTGGAGGCTTCCTGGCTGTGTTTCCATCATGTGTGGTTTAATTTCACTGTAGTCTGAGCATACATCTGTTTGCTTTCAGACAGGGTCTTGCTAATAGTCCAAGCTAACTTCCTGCCTCCTGACTGCTCCCATGAGAGGCATATACCCCCATGCCAGGTGCTGAGGCCTATTTTGTAGGACTTTTGTTTTAAAACTTGTTAAAGGGCGTTTTTCTGTCTTTAACGTGACTTCAGTGAAGGTGTTATCTGAGTTTGCGAATAACGTGCACCCGCACTTGTCAGATGGCTGCCTGACAAATGCCAACAGATTGGGACTAATGATGTGGACCGGTTTGCGCTTGGCCTTTTCCATTTGCTATTGGATCGGTCAGTCACTGTTAGGCGGGTGCTAGAATACCCAGCTCCAATGGACTCGTCCTTTTTGTGTTTTTGTCAAATGGATTTTCTGCTCTGGCAGATATTCGGACTCCCTGCTGTTCAGCTTGATCTTCTTAATGACTGCTACATCTTTGTGGATAATAGACTACAAATGTTCTGTGCCCTGCTCCTCTTTGCCCCTGATCATTTTCCTTGCGCCAGCGGGCTCTGCGCCTGGAAGCTGGGATCTTGCTCCCTTCAAGCCCTATCCCGGAAGCAAGCGTCCTCTGAGAGGCAGATGGGTATCTTCGGCCTCTGAGGCTGGTTAACAAGAGGTCCTGGATCCACAGAACAGCAGACGGGAACGTGCAACGAAGGGTCACGTGTCCAGGGAGACCCAAAACCCTCCATCACTTTTGCTCTTCTTCAGTTTAGTCACGAACCTCGCAAAACTATTGTTTGCTGTTCCGCTAAACTCCTCATACTTGGCAATAGCGCTTGCGCTTTGACCATGGCATCTACTATCGTTTTTCTATTTTTAGTAGACTTTTTCTTTGTACAAACATTATCTATGATCCACCACCTCCTGCAGGTCCGGCAAACTCTTGGTTGACCCAGACTCCCCCGGAGTTGGAGTTGAGGTCAGAGAAGCTCGGGACAACCACGAAGCCGGGGTCCCTCGCGCCCCAACCACCACGGTTAAGGATTCTGATACGTTACTAAACCGCCACCCAGAAAGGAATTGCGATTTGAACTTCTACCAGAAATCAGAAAAAGGTAAAGGTAAATTACCTGCTACCATCCAGTATGCCAAGCCTACAATGGTCCGGGGGCCTGGCTCCTCCCACCTCAACACTAACGATTCCTTCACTTTCAGGACAGCCTGCAGGGGTGACGGAGACCCAGAAGTCCAGAGCTTTGCAGAGTCGTCACTCCGGAGAGTACACCTCCAGAATCTTCAGTGCAGTTTAAATCACACTTGTGAGTCCTTGTTCTTCCCCTGACCTGTTCATGCCTCTGCCTCTCCAGCACTGGTGTTACAAGTGTGTGTGCTACCAGGCCTGACTTTATGTGCATGGGGGGTGGGGGTGGGGGTCAAACTTGAGTCCTCAATTTGCTGACTGAATCTCTCTTCTCCATCCTGCTGTTCAGAGATATTTTTGTTTTATTTCGTTTTTTGTTTTTTGGCTCTTTTTTTTTTTTTTTTTTTTTTTTTTTTTTTTTT